AGCTGACACAGAAAGGCAAAAACCAATGGACTGACTGAGGACAAATTCCCATTCCTCTACCTATAACTCAATTGCTCTGAAGAGGACAGATCAGCAAATGCTTTCTAAACTTTTTCCTGGGGCAGATTTTGCTGGGATAGATTCACACCATTTCTCCTGACTGATAGTCCTAAAGTACCCTTACACTGCCACACTTGTATTTTAAAAATACAGCTTGCGTGAGTCAAATCAGTCCCAAAATGCTAATGCGTAACCATTTGTCTTCTTGAACTTCACAAGCTTGATTTGAACCCTTGGAATAACTTAGAGAACAGGCATCAGATGACTTGCCTCACTTTTTATGTTTGAGATCTCTCTGATAGCCAAGGATTTGTTCAAGTGACTTAAGAGTTACATGCAACCTGTTATCTGTAGTGCGAAGGACTGTTTTGGCACCCAGATGTGGCTGTGACTCAGAGTTCCTCAAACCACAGCCTCTGCACCACTGGCAGATTGCTCTGGCTCGTGCTGTAGGCAGAAGGAAGCACCTCTGCTATCCTACTCAGTGCAAAGCAGCTGTTGAAAGGTCAGGATCTGGCCGCCCTTCTGAAGTTGAAATACCTATGATTTTAGACATTTTACATCTGTCTTTGTCACTCCTCTCTTTGGGCAGATATTGCTGGGGCAGAAGTACAACACCTCTGTTGACTGGTGGTCCTTTGGTGTTCTCCTGTATGAGATGCTTATTGGCCAATCTCCTTTCCATGGCCAAGATGAAGAGGAGCTTTTCCAGTCTATCCGTATGGATAACCCATTCTACCCTCGCTGGCTTGACAAGGATGCAAAGGACATTTTGGTGAAGGTAAAAATTACCACACATTGAACGAAAGTCTTTTTGCCAGAACTGTCATCTTTGATTTGTGCATCTTCAATTGTTGTTCAGAGAAACAAATTTAGTATGATAGGACCAGAGGGAGTCACTTTCTTGTCTGTGGACCTCTTAGCACACCTGACCTAAGTCATAAGACCATCTCTCTGTCTTCTTCTGAGTTGTGATGACGGCTCGTCACAGCCAGTAAGGAGGATCACAGGGTATCAGATACCAGCAGAGATCTATTTCTTTGCAGAGCAATTGCTGAGGTGCAAGGCATGTTAACTTCTGGAAAAGATATTCTGCCAGGCTTCAAACTAAGAGTTTGAAGCTAAGTGACTTCCTTGATAATTGCAGCTTGGAAGTGATTCTTGTGCCTCAGGGATATGAGGACATCTAGGGTAGATTGCTTTGGTGTTCAGCTTGATTTTCAGTAGAGAATATCTTGCATCTTTGCACTAGGCTAAAGAGTAGGAAAACAAAGCCTGAGCTGTGTCCTGAAGTGGCAGAGCTACTCAAGCTAGTAGCACCATGTCATCTGGGTTTTTGGCCCTTTGAATTTCCTACATAGCAATGCATAGCGTCCTTTCAGAGTGGAGCACTCTTCTGTTTCCATCTAATGGGCACCCTCTTCATCTTTTATGTTCCCTTCCTACATTACACTGATTTTTTCATTACCTCCTTCTCAGCTTCATGCCATTTAGCCTCATAGCCTTTCTGGCTTGGAATGCAAATTGTTGTAGACTTGCAAGACAAAAATGCAATGAAGTCACAACTAGTCTAACAAGTTGCCTCCTCTTAGTTGGGCACTGGACTGACATTGAATATGATCTAAGCTAAGGCATTTTAACTCAAGGTGGAACATGGTGAGAGAGCATGTACAGAGGCTTATAATGGCTCAGCTGATGTGAGATACCTTGTTCATCACAAGATTTTGATCATATTTGACCTACAGTCCCTACCTTGACTTTTACATTTACAAAGCTACAGGACAACATACAGCATTCCACTACCAAAAAATGGAGAGCAGGATATAATTTTAGCATCTGCACTGTGCGCAGCAGGGCTCAGATGTTTAGGTATCACTATAAAATTATAATAATGAGAACAATCAAAAGCAGTTGTTCAGAAAGACGTACCACAGCAGAATGAGATTTTGAACGTCTGTTTCTGGGACATACACTGCCATCTTTCTGCATAAGCAACCTGTACTTCGGTTAGGATTAGAGATAGCAATCATCTTTATACCAATCAGTAAACTTTCTTGCTTGGGAAAAAAAAAAAAAACATTTTCTCCATTATGGGCTATTCTTTTTGCCACTGACTGGATAATTGCATATTCCACCCTACTTAGTGTGTGTATTATCAGCACAGAATTCAACCTATGGAATCTGCGCTGCTGTGTAATCAGTTGTCTGTAGGACACTTCCGTTTTGGTGAGGCTTTGCCCACAGTGTTCACCAAATCTCTATGCCTGGGTTTTTTACAAACAGGCCCTCAATGGTCCATGCATCAGATTCTTTTGCTGCCACTTTTGGCATTAGATATTTATATTTGTTCTTTGCTGAGTGGTATCTATCTTATTCTCAAGCAACAAACTTCTACTATATGTAACCCAAGTCCATTTTGAGATGACTTCCAACAGTAAAGTACTTCTGAAAATTTGCCTTTACCTCTGAAGTAGGACAGATATTGGCTGTATTCAGGTCACCTGCTATCACGTGTTGCTACTATTCTTCTCCATTGACATTATAAGGATCTAGGATCTGGTATGCTATGGGCCAGCTGGCCTGGAGGCCCCAGACATTTTACTGCAGATGTAAAGATGAATTTTAAACTATTCGCACCCACCATTACAGCAATACTTGATCACTACATCCTGCTCACAAATGTTGAGCGGAGGTCTGAAGCAGTTAGGCTCCTGAATCTCTCCCCCAGAAATACTTCAGCTGCTTCCAGAGCCAATTGGCTCCTGCATCACCATAAAAACATCTATGACAAAACCGACTATGCTTACACTAAACTGAAAAGTGGGCTTTCTCATGGAGAAAAGATGTACCCCCACTTCTAACTTTTCCCTGTCTTTGGCAGAACTAGTCATCCACAGGACTTGTAGCCTGCAGTGTGCAGCAAACGCAAGCTATCTGAATTGGGAGTCTTTTGACAAAGTAGATGGTTGTCAACATCTGAGCTAGTCAGTGGAGAGAAGCAAGAGTTTCCAGGGTGTCTTTTATCTCATCTTTGAGTGTGTAAAGGAGGTCAGATAGTTTGCACCTAAGATGACTGTTTTTCTCTGTTAATTATAAAGGGTCAAATACTGACACTCCAAGTGTCCAAAGGGTAGGAGACGAATGCAACCCCACATAGGCTAGGTTAGTATTTTCACAAATTATGTTTATATTTCAACCATAAAAAAATTTCTGATAACAAGAAATTGTCCAGACAAAAGCTCACAAGTGCGATCCAGATATTTCACCTGTGTAGTTGCATATTTGCATGCTCAGACACTTATGTTGTTGCCACTGTACCATATTGTCCCCTCTGTCCTGCAAAGGAAAAATATGGCCAAGGTCTCTCAGTTTTGGCATGTTAGACTGAAGAATCTGAACTTGTTCCCCAATCAGAAATTTAGTAAGGCAGAAGAGTCTTCACACACTCACCAACCATGCTTGAGTTTGAAGTCTGAGACCCTATCTAGCAGGACTGTCCTAATGAATACATTGTTATTGATAAAAGACTAAGGTATTTCTCTTTCTTCAACATTCTAGCTTTTTGTGAGAGAACCTGAGAGGAGACTGGGAGCAAGAGGGAACATCCGCCAGCACGCCTTTTTCCGGGAAATAAACTGGGAAGCTTTAGAAGAAAGAAGGATGGAGCCTCCTTTCAAACCAAGAGTGGTAAGGATGCATCTTCTTTCAGTTCCACCAATCTCGTGTCTTTCTTTCCTAAGTCATTCATTCCCCAAATATTTAAACCCTCCAGCACATGCTAGTAATAAAACAAAGCCAGTAATGTTATAAACCCAGCTATTCAGAGGCACTTTTCAAAATCTTCACACATGGGTCTTTAATGTCAGAGACCTCAAATCCTGTTTAGATTCTCAGAGTCAGCATTTTAAAAGTGGATAAATGTCTGCTTCACACTGGAACTAACAGTTTTAGGCACCAAGTGAAGGCTTTCAAAGTTCCCTCAAACTTTCAGGGTTATCTTCTGGAGATGGAGGACCTTGGTCTTGGATGGTTAGAATGAAAGGTGTTGACTCTTAAATGTCCAAATGCAGATTAAACTGTTCACAGGCTGTCTGATATGTTGTGTACATCAGATACAAGCAGTTGAAATTATCTACAATTTGGATTGACCACAGCCTCACTCGTTGTACAGTTATTAGAAAGATAATTGTGTACTATGTACATCTATTGGCTGGGCTGCCTGACCTGATCATCATGACTACTACTTTGTGATGGCTATAAGCCCAGGTCTGGCACACCGACCCTGAAGAAACCATAAATCACTCATCACTTTATCACTTATCGTAGCAGAGGTCTGGATGCCATTTAAAACACCTTCCCTTAACCACATAAATACAGCTAATTCTCTAGAGATTATCTTTCATTGCACCATAGAAGGTAAAGAAGGAAAAGCGGTTAAGGTACCCAGGTGGTTGGCTAAGTCCTGACTATTAATAACAGTGCTATTAAACTATTAAAATCCTATTAATAACAATATTATAATTTAATTTGATAAGTGCATCATACTTTCATTTTACAGTCCTTCACAAGTGTTATTTAATTTATGGGTCCCCTCTGCTGTTTTACAAAGCTGTAACATCCCTGTCTGGCAGAATTCATGGATCACAGGCTCAGTGCTGCCTATATAATATATAGTAATAAGCAAGTGATTAGCACTGGTTGCTAGATATTAAGAGCTCAGACAGTTCACTGCAGTTTGACATGTTACTGTGCATGATTTGGGCTGGAGTAACTAATCATTGTACAAAAGACCAAGAGCAAATGAGTTGCAGGTTCCGTGGCTGAGCTAGCTTGCTCCCAACCAGTTGAACTGAACCCATAGGAAGCAGCCTGATAAGGCCAGTACCATTGTAATGAAGATCTGAATATTAGTGATTTGACGTCAGATTTTTTTTCCTTTTCTTGAAGAAATCTCCGAGTGACTGTAGCAACTTCGACAAGGAATTTCTAAATGAAAAACCTAGACTGTCCTGTGCCGACCGAGCACTGATTAACAGCATGGACCAAAATATGTTCAGCAACTTCTCTTTCGTGAACCCTAAAATGGAGAAAATATTTTCCTGAGATCTGCCTTGCTGAAGGAATTCTCTGTAATAGTTTGAGTAACACTTTGTCAACTGAAGACTGTGCACGGTTGTTTTTACCAAGAACCCTCCAGAAAAACACCTCAGTGAAAGTTTGTACCATGCCTGGAGGCTTCCAGCTTATTCCAGTCCGTAGCAGATGCCTGCCACTCTTCATTAACGATGAAGTTTCTTTGTGGTACCTTTTGGTCTCTCTTCTCCCTTTTCCCAATGTTTTTGAAGCTGAGAGCATCTGAAAATGAGGAGGTGCTAAAACCTGTTCCCCATTACTTGTACACAAAGCCAAAGGGTTTCTCTGTAAGAGAAAACAAGTATATTTGAGATTCTGGTGATGTCAGTGCCCATTTCTGCAATTCTAACCTAGGTCCACCTTCTTCTGAAGGACAAGTCGTTTGCTCAAGGCCTGAGGGTATCTGGAAGGACTTCAGGCTGGATGCTTTGGTAAACTCCACTTGTACATGCGCAGAATTATGCATGTATGCACAGTTTTGAAGAAGCAATTTTACTCCCTACACACTTTAAAAATAATGTTCACAAGTGGTAGGATTCAATTTTGCTTCACTGGGACGAAGAGATTTTGCAGGTACCCATTCCAGCATTTGTACATCTCAACCAGAGGTGCTGGAGCTAAGGACTCAACCCCAAAGGAGGTTCCTTGCCATGGCAAGTGTCAAGATCAATACAGAAAACCAATGGTTTACACTTAGTACTTGAGCAGGGAGAATGGGAAGTTGCAGTCAGGCAGACGTCTTGAGAACCCCTGTTCTAAACCTTTAACTGTCCTCACACATGCCAGACTCAGAGCAAAATCTGGACTGGACTTTCTGGAGTTTTACCTTAAAACAGCATGAGAAAGGTGGAAGAGGTTTCTCAAATCATCATTTAAGCATCGTAAAACTGGCCTTCCAGTCACGGCATTGGCATATTTTACTTGAAAGGGAGTTATCAGTCCTTGCAAAGGCTGATATACTTTCTATTGCTCTAAATGATGTCCCAACTCTTTGGCACACATGGTGGATATCATTCAATAACCTACACCCAACGGTCAGGACAGTACATCAGGTGAGGTTGGTCCTCTCCTTCACCTCATGACATTTTGCTGTGTGTTCTATCCCTTTGCAGTCTGTGGAAATGTGAGTGGGTTTAAAAAAGTCTTTTCTGTGAATCTTTCATCATGAGATTCTTTTAAATAGAGATGCACAGTTTTCTGAGGTTGGAGAGATGTAGAACCGCCCAGTTACTGCTTGTCACCGAGAAACGAGTTAAATACTGGGTCAAAATTAAGTCAAAGCCCAAATAGAGGATTCTGTAATAGCTTAGACTTAGGCAGTCACCCAAGTTGGTGTTAGGTTCTAATTGAAGTGTATACATTTGGAGCTTCACTGCATCAACCCCTTCCTTCCATGGAGAAGAGAAGCTCTAGAAGGTGGGTCATCCCAAAATCACGTTCCCTTCAAAGGTGCCTTTCTGGCTCTGCTGGACCAGGCTCTCAACTTGGACCTCCCAAAGAGGATGAATGCAGCCTTGCAGGCAGCGCTGAGATATCGCTGGCAGTGACTGCAGGCACTGAGTCCTGCAAGACCAAGAGCAGAAGTGCCTAATGTCGACAAGAAAAGCAGAGTGCCCTGAAAAAGGTTTCAGTTCAGCGACTTTCATGAAATCCTTGTTTGTGCTGTATGAATTGCAGGGGGCATGTGTGCTCACAGTTTGTGCAGCTGGTCATCATGTTTAATTAGAATGGTTAACATGAATTTTTTAAATGCCAGTGCTGTTTGTACAGTTTAATAAAATGTTGTGTACAATTGGAAAATGGGCATTGAAGTGATTAAATAGGGACAAAGGACAGAGGTGCTTAGAAAAGCCATTAAAATGGCTCTGCGTTTTCTGGGCCACGTTCCCCCATGGAATTTCAACCCATAAATACACAACATCAGTAAGCATTTGAACAACTGCAACTACTCCACAAATCAGTATCTAAAACAAAGATTTGGTGCTGTGCAAAGGTATCCAAGAAGAGAGTAAAATGTTCCTTTTCACTACCAGAGGATGACACGGCTGTAAATGGGGTCTGGTGTCTCAAAGGTGTTGCAGAGCCAGATGTGTGGAGGTCGTTACTATTAGAGGGTGATTCAGGCCGTCTGCTTTTGACACCTGAATGAGGTTGGGTCAGCCAGGTCCTGGGAGAGCCTGACCCTTTCCACATGCTATGGATGGAGTCTGGATGGCCTGATCCAGACTAGAGATTGCATTTCTAAGCATTTGAGGATTGACAGTATCCCACTGTGAATGACTGTTAGGGATGTTTCCTTTGTAACAGCACAGTGGTTCGTGCTTCACACCAATGCAGGGACACCCCAAGAACGCAGACTAAGAAAGGAGGATGCTGAATCAGCTCTTGTGGTTAAGTAACTGAAGAGCAATGGGGTTTAACACCTCTCTGAGCTGACGCAGGGCTCTCTGCACTCCAGCTGTGATCCCATATAGCTAAAGCAGCCAAACGTAAGAGTGACTTGTAAAGGAGCACGTTTGAGTAACTGCTAGAGCAGACATGGTGTTAAGCTTAATGTAGGTCTTGTGATGCAAACCACAAGAAGAAGTGCCTGGGTCTCTCTGCAAGGTGTCTTCAGCTTAAAAAACAAATAAACCCATTGAAGATGGGGGAAGGGAGATGGAGAGAGGTGGGTACAAGCCATGTACATGCATGCTGTGTGTCTCACTGGTGCCACGGCCTAAAAACCCTCCCAGCTGTGTCTGTGGTGTGCGAAGAGTGACGTGGTAAGCAGCAAGCATTTTCCTGTGGTGGCAGTGACTGAGAGATAGGAGCTGGTGAGGGCTGAAAGCCAAACACCCACACGGAAATGAGAAGGAGCCCAGGTACTCACAGAGATGCTCCTTTGCCTTGGCTGAACCTGGTGCCTCTATACCCATCTTGTCTTTTTTTCTTTCTTTCTTTTTTTTTTTTTTCTTTCCCCTCCTCCATAAAATGTTCATTTTACAGCATAGTAGATGGGATTTGTCAGGTTTGGTTATGCATTCGCTGAAGGCCCAATCCTGTTCTGGAGCCCCATGGTATCACAGCACTGCTGTAGAAGCATGGCACCTGCAAACACCAGGGTGTGACTTCCAGCACCGCCTGCTTCAGCTCAAATTTTGGGAGTCCTCACCACCCAACTGCTCCTTCCCCAGTCTTGCTGCTTCACTCAACAGATGCACAAATTACTACTTGTCGGCATTCTCCAACCCAAACTTTATTCAATTGTTTCAATTACAACTCTCTTGTTTTTCTTCAAAGCCACCAGTACCATCCTAGAACTGCTTTTGTAGCTGAAGCACAGGATTTTCGGAGATTTCAGACAATAGGACAGCCTGAGACTAGAACAGCTGAATGGCTCAAATCTGACCTCCCGGGTAACACAGAGCACCCACTCCTACCCTGACATCTCCCCCAGGAATCCAAGTATTTCTGTCCTGAATCTGGATGCAGGTCCCAATTCAAATAATCAAAGTCAGCTGTCTATGGCATAGGAATGCAGTTTAACTGCTCACCTTTAGTCATCTAGCATCACTGACACACCCTGGGGTATCCCAGAGGACTTCCACTGAACATGGATCTCTCCTACAACCTGTGGCATATCCCACAGCCCTGTTACCCCAAAGGACCCCCAATAGCAGCGAACATGTCTGCATAACCAGCTGAATGAAGTCCAGTGATTGAGTTCACAGCAGGCACCTGCACTCAACCAGCCAAGTCACTGCTTGTGGTGGGGACAGCAAGTCACAGCTCAGCACATACCATTTTTTCAGACCTTTTTATGCTTTTGCCACTGGGTTGCAAGAATACTATCTCCTTGACTCCTATCCTGAAAAGCACCAGAGGCAAATAGCCTTTGCCATGGTGCTCACCAGCCTCCCAGCCAGAAGAAATCTGCAGCTGCTGGCAGCGAACAGCGTGAGCCTTGCGGAGGGCAGACTGGATCTACATGTATGTGGTAGCTGCTTGCAGGACATTTGCTGGCAATGAACTGCTGAAATAGCCTGAACTAGAGGCTGGCAATATCGTCATGTTTTGACCCTGTCAAGGAAGACACTTGTAAGAAAAAAACATCAAAAATTAGTCAACAACGTGTTTTCTCTAGTTGCTAAAGAAACTTCATGAAGGAAATTCTCTGTCCTTCTGGTACATCCTCCTTAAGGGAGACCAGAGGACACTGCATTCCCATTCCCATTGACAAGCATCTTCCCTTCTCCCATACTAAAGCAGTGATAACCAGAGAGGTACAAAGCTCAGTATTTATGGTCTTTTGAGAACTGTCTTTGCTTTCAATCTCCACAGGGACATTCAGTTTCATTTTGAACCTGAGGATCTGGTGAGTCAAAAATTCAAAGAAAAACTCTGCCAGAAATCTTTGTCCATTTCCATGAAAATGGTGCAGAAGCTCATTGTAAACACTTAACTTCTCCATCAGCTTCTCAGGGATGGAGGTGAGGCTTACCAGCCTGTAGAACTCTTAGCGTCCTTTTTGCCCTCCTTGAAGACAGGAGTGACATTTGCTTTCTTCTCTTCCACACTCCAGCTGAAGACCAGGCTCATGATGCAGGTCTTAATCACTTCAAAACAAAAAGCTCCAGGATGTCTGTCTATGTGGCTGGATACAGCAGGGTTGTAGTCTGCCTGCAGCTTAGCTTAGAAAGCCCCAGCTACTAAGCCACAGACGTTTCCCACAGTCCATTGCCATAAAGAAGCTGAAGACCTTTCAGGAGTATTTGGTAAGGTCCTGGGACAGCCGCTGGTGGGTTGGGATCTAGCAAGACTGCCCGTATATGTGCCTTGCCTGAACAGAGCCTTGGTCCATGATAATATGGTGGGTGTGCTTGGGCTCTCCAACTACAGTGCAGCTGAACCTGCAACTGCACCCAAGGGTGACTGTGGGTAGTGAGTGATGCACTGGTCTTTAAAGCCGTCCAGGACCCCAGTGTAACCGGTATGTAACACTCCACAGTGTAGTCAATCACTTGGCCTGAGATATCTCATCAAAACAATGACGTTGCCTCCAAAGCTGAAGTGTGTTGAAAGCCTGGCTAAATAACATGACGATCATAGGAGATGCTCAGTTAAGACAAACCTACAGAAATGCTTAAGGGCACATGCTCTTTCTCAT